TTGTAGCCACAGCTGCCCTGGGGCGCACTGACAGGCGAGGCTGCCGGACACTGGCGCCACCGGGCCCTCTGACCACCACCATTAGGCAACAGGTGAAGTGTCTTGCCCAAGGACACAACGACCGAGACTGTCGGAGCCGGGGCTCGAACCAGCAACCTTCCGATTACAAGACAAACTGCCAACTCTTGAGCCACGATCGCCCACGTGCACAAGTACACAGAACACCACCTTCTCATACATAATAATTCTATTTTTTAACCTTGTGATGAAATTTTAAAAAGCTCATTTGTATATACAAGTTTTAATTTGAGTTATATTAGCAAATCTTTTTGCAATGCATTCTTTCAAAATGTATAGTGCAATTTATTTATTTTTTACATGGGAAAAAAATCACACCAATAAAGTCTCTAAAACTTGCAAAAACTCACATATCAAACATGATACACTTAGCATTAAAGGGTTAAATCAACTGCTTGATTGTGTTTATATTTGCCTAAGTAAAGACTTTCTCACCATAACTTTTTGCAAAAAAGGTACAATAATCGGCAGCATCTGATGGTCTTCTGCTGCTGCTACAGGTACTTGCGTCAGTGGTTAAAACATCCACAATGAAAAGCGTATTAATAATTAATGACCCTGTCTGTACCTGGAGCCTGGCCCTCGACACATTTACTGCTAATCGATGCACTTCTCACAGACGCAGCTGTCATGTTACATTCCAGGCTTCTGTTTATTCCAAGCAAAACAAACACTTTAAATTCACTTATTCAATTAATCCTGTTCAAGCAGAACAGACAAATTATTCTGCACTCAGTTCGACTACACCATATTGAGGAGATTCTACAATAACAAAAGCATTCAGCAGTCATTTCATTAGGCACACCTGTTCTGCTGCTTGTTAATGCAAATGTTAACCAATCACATGGTACAAAGACAAATCTATTTAAGTGTGTAGACATGGTCAAAACGGCCTGCTGAAGTTCAAACCAAGCACCAGAATGGAAAAGAAAGGTGATTTAAATGTTGATGCCTGACGGGCTGAGTATTTCAGAAACTGCTGATCTGCTGGGGTTTTCCTGCACAACCATCTCAAGAGGTCACGGAGAACGATCTGAAAAAGAGAGAATATCTTTGCAGAGCTGCAATTTTCTGTGTGAAAATGCCCTGTTATCTCAGAGGTTAGAGGAGAGTGGCCAGACTGGTTTGAGCTGGTAGGAAACAAAGTCAAACAACCATTTTATACAACCAACGCACAACAGAAAATAACCCAGGTGCCACTCCTGTCAGTTAAGATCAGGAAACTGTCACTACAATTCACACGGGCTCACCAAAATTGGAAAACAGAAGAATGGAAAAAGAATTTGCCTGATCTAGTGTCTTGATTTTCTCCTGTCACATGTCAGAATTTGGTAGAAACAGCTTTCAAGCATGAAAGCATGGATCCATTCTGCTTTGTCTCAACACTTCAGGCTTGTGATGTTTATCTAATGGTGTGACGAATATTTTCTTGGTACCCTTTGGACCCTTTAGAGCCAAATGAGCATCTTTAAAATGCCACAGTCTGCCTCATTATCGTTGCTGACCATGTCCTTCCCTTCATGACCACATTGTATCCATCATCTGATGTCGGTTTTCCAGCAAGATAAAGCACAAAGCTCACAATATCTGAAACTGGTTTCTTGAACATGACAGTGAGCTCACTGTTCTCAAATGGCTTCCACAGACACCAGATCTCACAGAGAGTACCTTTGGGTTGTGGTGGGATATCATGGATATCATTGGATATCCCAGTTCTTTGATCTTTGGGTTGAAGGAAGAACAACACAATCTCAACAATCTCATCAAAACAATTCTCTTTATTCCATACACACTTTGAGCATTACAAACATCCGGACAGGAGGGTGTCCGCCAGAAGTGTCTGACCATTTCTCACATTCTTATAGCTCCGGCCCCCCTCCGCACTAAGCATTCACATTCACGCCTCTGTCAGTGTGACCCAAGGCAGCTGTGGCTACAATGTGGCTTGCCATCACCAGTGTGTGTGAATGACTGAATGTTCTGTAAAGTGCTTTGGGGTCCTTAGGGACTAAGTAAAGCGCTATACAAATACAGGCCATTTACCATTTACCATCTTTCTCTCTTACAGCACCTAAGTGATGGCCTTGGCTTCCTGTTTTATCTCCTCCTGATGAGATGAGGCAGAAAACCTCTACAATATATTCTGTTCTCTTTGTAATCAGAAAAGGAAGGCCATGATTCGACACAAACAGCATTTCTTATAACTCAGCAGTATAATGCATCATAAAATGGTGTAATGATTTCACAATCTTTAATCCAAGGAATAATGTGGCCTATAGCCGTATAATGATTCAACAATTCTTTGATTAGAAGTAAAAGGTGGCATAAGATAGTATAGTAATCTCACAATATGCACCCAACAAACCTACAGCAACTGTGTGATGCTGTCATGTCAGTTAGTAGGGCTGGGTTAATTGATAACAGGGTACACCCTGGACAGGTCGCCAGTGTATCGCAGAGCTAACACAGAGAGACAGACACCATTCACACTCACACCTATGGACGATTTAGAATCATCAGTTAACCCAACTGCATTCAAACTCCACACAGACAGGCTCCTGTGGAGTCAAACTCAGGACCTTCTTGCTGTGAGGCAACAGTGCTAACCACCGTGCTGCCCTGTGAATACTTGTGATCAATAAATGATCAAAAGGGGGGAATGTGATGGCACTGGACAGCTGCTGTACTCTGTACTGTTTTCTGAGACCTTTGCCAAGTCAAATTAAAATCTCACAGAGACAACTTGTTTTGTTTCAGATTTCCGTAACAGCTGATACTGACATTACAACGTCACA